GAGGAGAATGAGGAAAAGCGTCACTAGGGGATGATAATTGATATGGTCTGGCCCCAGGTATTGATCATGTTAGTAGAAAGCAGTGCATGGACCCGAGAGTCCTTGCGAGCAGATTCAGGGTATATGGAAGTTCGAGAATAGCAGTTGCTCTACATGGATAATGTAAAGTGAAGTGTAGCTCAGTGGCATGTGCAAGAGCAGTAAGGGATGTTGAGTGGGTTTCCTGTAAAGGAAAGGCATGTAGCTCCGGAAGGAGCATTGGTACTCCAAGAGGAGGATGTGGAGTAAGTGGATTATCGACAGTGCTTCAGCTATTGGTAGTAAGTACTGGGATTGTACCAGTGGTGTGTAAGCACATCCGGATTGGGTGTCTGTTGAGGTTGCAGAGGGATTTCCGATAGTGTAGAACCAGAGGAGTTCGGAGTGGATGCAAGGAGGGAGCATTGGAATTTCCAGTATGGTTGTGATCAGGAAGTTATGTATGTAGCGGAAATTCATCCTGGAGATGTATGGAGTTATCATTAGTGTGTCGGGTTTTCCAGCTCGAGGATGTGGGATCAGGTACAACATGTGTATGTGATAACAAAGGAGAGCTCATGGGAGTTGCTTAGGAGCTAAAGGATGTGTCATCCTGTTAGCTTGGAAAAGAAACGAGTTGAATTCGGAAAGGAAAGCAGGATAAGTCCCAGGAGTAAATTCAATAAAGGATATGCCAGTCAAGGAAAGGGGTAGCAGCTTGGTACCGGGTCAGGACCCGGTGGTTCAGGGTAATATCTAGCTTGGTAACGGTCAAGTAATTATTATGAATTGGAGTGATGAAAGTATCATCGGGTGATCGTTGAAGGTTGTTATCAGAGAAAGAAGCCAGTGGCCGGTTTCAATCAATTGTCGTAACTCTAGGAGGGAAGAGTTGGACTTTATAGAGGTCCGATAGCAGTGTTTGGAGGAACCTGGGTCGGTTGAGACTAGGAGCTGTATTGAGGGAGTGTCATCTGGGATGTGTTGCTTCAGGCTTCGAGGACGAAGCCTAATTTAAGTGGGTGAGAATCGTAACACTCTGAGTTCAGAAGTACAAGTTCAGGATTCTAAGTGTAAGTATGGAAGATCGACTCGGTGAGTCGATGGATAGACTCGGCGAGTCGGGTCGTGATTCTGGTTAGGTGTTAAGTGACCGACTCGGCGAGTCGACGGTTGGACTCGACGAGTTGGTTCTGAAGGAAGAAAACCCTAATCCGGGGGTTGTTCCCTATATAAAGCACCTTACAACCCATCCCAACCTCTTTTGCACTCCTTTTGATGTCCAGAAGCTTTCCCCATCGATTTCAAACCCTAATTTGAGAGTGAGAAGGATGTAAGTGTGTTTTGGAGCTTGGAGAAGAAGGATACTTGAAGCAAGAGTTGGTGGGATCATAGAGGAGCGAAGTGGATCTGATTTCCTCGCTTGTTGGCATCAGATTGAAGGTAAAAGATGTTGCCTTGACCTTGTTGTGCTTAGATTGTTCATGGATGAAGTTTAGGGCCAAATTGTCATATATGAGTCTCTTTTCGAGTATTGGGCTCAGATCTGTGGTTGCTACTATAGATCTAGATTGGTCTTGACTCATGAACCTGGGAAGTGATTGCTTTGGGGATTGATTGAGAGTGTCCTTGCCTTAAACCTCCATTTTAGTTTGATTAGAGCTTGTTGAGCCTTGCATGCACGTAAAGTTGGACACTTTACTTGTGAATCTGGCCCTAGGATTCCAGATCTATGTATTGGAAGGAATGGAATGGCCTGTGATCGTCTGAATGAAGATATTACATATGGAATCGGCGAGTCTGGGAGATGACTCGGCGAGTCAGGCTTGATGTCAGTCTTGAGTCGCATAGTAACTCGGTGAGTCACATGGGTAGATTCAGCGAGTTCTATGAAGATGGACAGGAACTCGAGGAGTTGGAAGAACAACTTGGCGAGTCTGTTGAATATTGCTTTAGACTCAGTGAGTCTGTTCTTAGACTCGACGAGTCTGGTCGAGGAGTCCTAACCATTTCTGGTTGAACGGTGAATCGGCGAGTCTTGGGGCGACTCGGTGAGTTGAGTCGCGATATAGGAGTTTTCATAGCATGGGGACTTGAGGAGTCAGCGGGTGGACTTGACGAGTAGAAGCAATCAGGGAGTTTGACTTTGACTGAGGACTTTGACTTTGACCAAGGGTTGACCAGTTTGACTTCCAAGGGTATGTTGGTAATTAATGGTGTTTATTGGTTTTGGTTATTTGGTAATGATTAGTGGTGGAGTTCGTGCTGGTAATCGGAGCAGCGTGGTCTTATTTCTTCAAGTCGGCAGTTGCAGGTGAGTTATCCTCACTATATCGATACGGTCTAAGGCACCATGGTCGGCCCTTTATCAGATGGAAATCCGGGTAGTTGTTATGTTAATGCTTTGCTATATGTTTGCATCCTGGTAGTTAGGATGGTATATGTTAGAGACCTGGTTAAGGTCGGAATCCTGGTATATAGGATGATGCTTTGTTAGTGACCGGTTAGGTCGGTGTCCTAGTTAGAGTGTGCTATGTATGTGATCTGCTAGATCGTTTGTATAGTGATGAATTGCTATATGATTATATGTTTATGTGCACATGGTTGATTGACTGTGGTTGGGTTGAGGCGTGTCCTGCTTTATGTTGTAGGACAACATAGCCAAGGCAGACCGGATATCCCAAAGGCCTAGCGAGCGGTCCGGATAGGCTGTACGCCCTACGAGGGTGGACCAGAAGTGCTGAGGCTCGAAGAGTGGACCAGGCCGACTGAAGGCTCGGTGCGGGCGGACCAGTCATACTGTAGACTCAGAGAGTGGACCAAGTGGGTTGAAGGCCCGGTGCGGGCGGACCAACCACACTGCAGACTCGATGTATGTTGCTAGACTTGGAGGGTGGACCAGGTGGACTAAAGGCCCGGTGCGGCGGACCAGTCACACAGTAGAACCGAAGTGCATGGCTGTTCTGTTTATGATATGATATGTTATGTGTATGGTATATGTGGTTGGTCTTTTGGGGGTAACTTACTAAGCTTTCGGGCTTACAGTTTTCAATGTATTATTTCAGCTACTTCAGGAGATCGTGGCAAGGCGAAGGCGTGATCATACCGCTCCTCATGTTTTATGTATTTATGATGTGGTTCTGGGAAATACTATGATAATAAATGGATTGAAACCTTTTTGTAATGAATTAATGAATATGGGTTGTTTTTTTTCGAAAAGTTTAAATTGGTTGAAAAATTTTAGATGTTACACCCCATATGCAAGCCATTTCACATTTTCATTTTATTGCAGATCCATCTTAACAAACCTATCAAGTTCAATGATTTTTTCTTTACATTCTTTTCTTTCTAGAAGTTCACCATCAAATAGTATTCGTGATTCTGCAAACTGTTCAAGCTCAACAACTTTTTTTTTACACCCCTTAATAACTTTGATTCCTCCTCTGAGACAATGCTTCGTCATTTGTGAATACCCATCTTCATGAATTTTAGTTTAGATTTTAGTACCATATTAGGTGAACCAAAACCACTAAAGGAATTCCACGCCTTTCGAAATTCCAAATGAAAGTCATCTCTATGCATCTATGAATTGAAGAATCGGAATGATGGTGGGCCAAAGTCCTGATTCAGGGATTTGAGAAGCAATGGGGTGTGGTCAGAGTATTCCATGTCAAGAGAAATAACACTAGATAGTGGTTGTTGAACAATAAAGTTGGGTCAAATTAGAATTCTGTCAAGTTTACTCAACTTAAAACCATCATCTCACATATAAGTGAATTTTTTACCATCCATATTGAATTCCTGCAGCCCAGTCCTTGCGATGAAGTCATTAAAATCTTTAGCAGTTCTTCTATATAATGTGGAGTTAAACCTTTCTTGTTCACTTCCGACTGCATTGAAATCTTCTTAGAAGATCCAGATTCCATTAATACTACATTTTAGATCATATAATTCTGACCAAAATATCCTTTTGTCAGATTTTGATTATGGGGCATAGATATTAACAATCGTTGTGATACTAGGGATGCCTTTCTAATACCCTGTGATTGCAAGAAAGTTTTGTGAGGACTTAATATGACATTTCGAGAATATATTTGGGTTCCAGATGGAAACAATTCCACCTGATCTACCAGCGGGATTGATAAACTCAGCACAATAATCAATTCTACCCATGCACCAACAATGCGAATATTATTTGACTCTGAAACACGAGTCTCTTGAAGGCATATAAAATCAACTTTATGGACCTGTTTGAGTTTGCGCACCCAATCAATTTTATGGGTTTCCCCACACCCCTGATGTTAAAACAAAGACAATTCATTGAGGTACACTTTTTATACCATCACTGCCAGTGTTAGAGATTCTAATAGCAATCAGATCAACAAAATCAATTTGAAAACCAACTTCCTTACCAACCTTGATCACACTTTCGAATTCACTAGAGGAAGATAAGTTATGTTCACCTCTAGACTCTGATTTTGAGGTTGCCATATTCAGGCCAATCACATGGGAAGGCAGAGGGAGAGGAGGAACAATAGGAGAGCAGCAATTTCGTACTTTATGAGATTGGAGAGACAATGCAGAGCTAGGTTGATGAGACAATTTCAAACTGTTAAATTTCCTGCATTTATCCAGGGATTCACCTTTACCAAACTCAAATAATGGATTATCATTGTGGATTGGGTCTAGAGCGGTCGGCCAATTCTCACCACCAGGTAGTGGAATATTATGAATGAGCCTATGTGGTGTATGGTTACTGGGTTGTTCATTTGAATCCCCATTCACGTTTAACTTTTTTTTTATGTGGGACTCCTGGGGAATTGATCATCAACTACACCATTAATTTTTTCATCGTAGCAACTTCTACCAGTAGTATTATGCGACGGTTCATTTACCTGATTAACTGTATTGGCTCTATTAACAACGTCCACCATCGCCACCGTATCTATCATCGCTGGGACCCCATGTGTGTCGTCTTCATCTCATGATTCTTTAATAATTTTCCCATCTTGAATAATATTCTTTACATGCATTGGCACTTCCCATGTTGCTGATATTCCGTCCTCATCAGAATCATTCACATCATCATAATCATCTTCTTCTATACAGTTGTCTTCATACATCTCATCATCTTCATCGACAACCTTGGTGTCATGAATTTCAGTGGTAGTGCTTGGGTTATCAAAAGGCAACCAGTCTCCATCACACTCCACCACACCAACTTTATATTTCTTATTACCAAAGGAAACATCTATTTCATCATTTAAGATCGTCCTAGTTTTAGTTAGGACACATACAATTCCATAAGATAAGTCAAAATCATCCATTCACCGCTTTTAGTCCATGAAGAATCAAGCGCTTTTCCAAATGCATTTGCAGCCTTCATGTAATTTCCAAATGAACGAAATCTGATAGGTAAACCAAGAATTCTTACCCATGTTAATCTTTCATATATCAGGTCATCGTTGAACCTTATTTTTATCCATTTAAACCATCTATTCCAGTTGTGCTGGTTCTCATGAAATACCTTCGTCGCTTTGGAATTTACAAATTTTAAAATAACATTCATGCCACCGATGTAATGAATTGCAGTTTCATGGTTACCTTCCAAAGAAAGAATCATAGGTAACTCCCCAATTATTTGAATGTTAATAGCTTCATTAACCATTACATAGTCATGACTACATTTTGAGAAACCAGTTGGCCTGATATTAATGTGCTTAACCTCATTTGCTGAGTGTTTCACCGTTGTTCCACGTACAACATCTACGAAGGATAGCGATTGATTGGTCGGACGCCATGTGTCGGTTTTCATTATCATTTGTGGAGCAGCTATCTTTGTGTTGTCTTTATTTTCCAGAGTATCTTGTTTCTGATATTTCTCCACGTTCACCCTGAGTATGTAATGACCACATCTAATTCTACCCATTTCATATTCCAATCGTTTCACATCTCTAACTACTTCAAATATGACAAACGCAAAGATCGATCCTGATCTGTCTCTTTTACCACCAATGTAAATATCAACTAGCTTGCCAAACTTTTGAAAGGAGTTCATGATCTTTAACTTCGATACATTATCTGGCAGATTAGAAACATAATATGTTGTTACAACTGTTCTTGTGTCCTGCGGAGTTTTGTTTCTTCGACGGACCTCTGTCCATCCGCCTGATTGATCACCTCCTTCTCTCTTGGACCTTTCGTATCCCTTGAGAGCATTTTGGTTCCCCTTCTCCCATGAACTATAGATCAAATAATCAATTCTAATCCATCCTAACTTAGAAAAATGAAAAATGGCATATTTAATGCAATATGTATATTTAATTAAATCTTAATTTTGAAATAGTCAACGTTTTAAACAAAAAATTCTATATTTATGGATGTTATTTGAATAAACATTCTAGGTCTAGGGGTCATTTTGACCAAACATTTCATTGAAAAACGTCGCCATGATATTTATTGAAATGTTTTGTTACATGTTGATTGTTATGGTCAGACAGTTAACATACAACCATAACTCTCCTTAAGTTGTAACAAAGGGGAACTTAAGAATTTAAGGTGGTTCAGTCTCGCGATCTACATCCACACACAGGTAACTATAAGTTTTATTTCTTTTGTGTCTCACACTTCCAAAATACAGAGTAGTCTCGTATATATAGAGAGTGGAGATGATAACCGGTCAAAGAACAAAAAAGAAAGAAAGGGAACCATAAAGCATGTCATCAATACGGTTGTTCACCAAACACAAAAAAAATATGACCCTTAAATTTTGGCTTCCTGTTCTCTGACACTATCTTTATTCTTGACCAACCCAATAAATGGCTTCACTCACAACAATCTCCCACTTCAAGCCACAGGACAATCCTCACCAATGCTTCAACTGTGTATCAGTATTTCTGTAAACACCTTTGATCTTAGCTCCTTCCTAGTTACCATGTCCTTCTCTTCAATTGACCTGAAGACTAGTTGAAGCTATGCAAAGCTTCAACTTCTCTAAGGTAACAACCTTAGTCAACATATCAGTTGGATATTCAGTTCCTTTGATCTTTTTCAATTTTAGAGTGTCATCATTAATTCTTTCTCTGATGAAGTGATATCTTAACTGTATGTGCTTTATCTTCGAATGGAAGACAGGATTCTTTGCAAGGTTGAAGAGAATTGTTATCGAGATTATGAAAGCAATTATGATTGAATGATTGAAAAGTAAGAAAACAATGAGTAAATATTAATCAGATCTTATATTGATGAAGACTGATTACAATGCTTTAAGCAGAAAGAATACTCGAGTTCAAAAAGTCCTTCTACTTCTATCCTCGGTCCCTATTTATAGGAGACCTGAGTGTACAAAAATAAACTAAGTCTATTACAATATGCTTCGCATAAAACTATGACTCAGTAAAATAACTAATATGCGAAACTCAAAAAGAAACAACTACTTCGACTTTTACAATACATAGACTCTACAATCCCCCCTTTGTAAACAGTCGAAGCTATTCAGTCCATAAGTTTCTGAACAGCTGAGTAGATTGTCTTTCGCACTTCACTATACCAAGAAATCACCTTTTTAAGCTCCCTCTTTTCTCCTTCATTATTCTTCTTGCAGTTATTCATACGAACAATAAAATTCGTATATTGCGAAGAAGTATATCTTTCAATTTCTGAGATCTTGAACAAAAATTTCTTGGGCTTTCCTTTTGTATCCTTCCCTGAAAATACCATGCCAAAAGGTTTCAGGCATATTTTGATGGGTTTTGGTCATAAGACATCATATGTGCTCATACAAACCCTAAAGCTTGGATCTAGGTTTCTCTATTGTACATGCTTTGAGACCAAGACTATAAACCCTAATTCTAGCATGCAAGTAATCATATTAACATAAGAATAAGTTTATAATGTTACCTTGATTGTTATGTAGCAATAACAATCCCAATCCCACCTTGAATTGACTTTGGAAGGCTTAGAGTCACAAGTATCACTCCTCTAATGGTTCACAAACACCATAAGCAAGAGGATGAAGAGGATAGAGGTTGGAGGCTACCAAAAACGTGTAGAAACCCTAACAAGAAGCTTATCCACGTTTTTGAGCCTTAAGGGGTCTTTATATAGTTGGGCTATTAGGGTTATCTAACAAGGAAACCCTAATTTGGATGCTTAAGCCTTTAGCAACCCATAGACTCCTTTTAATCAAGCCCTTGGACGATTTCCTTATGGGCTTCCCCATAGAATTCGTCCAACCCTTGATACAAGGCAATCCATGGCCCAAATTGCAATTATCTTATAATTACAATTCCAGTCCCTTAAGTTTAATTAATCTTTTTTAGTCACAAAACTAATTACCAATTAATTATTGACTAATATTAATTAAACAATATGATTTCTCCTTTAATATATTATTCCCATAATATATTAATAAATCATATTTATTCCTTTCTCTCCATAATTCATCCTATCAAGTTGCTTTGGTGAAGGCAACCCAAAAGGACCATGCACCATCGGGTCAAGTACATACCAAAATAGTTATGGACTTAGACACTAAAATAGAGCCATACGTTCTGACTTTTATCTCTTCTTAGATAGTGGATTCTTACCTAAAGTAGATCCATACGTTCTGACTCTCCCGTCTCTTAGATCTCTTAGGTAATTAGGGCAACTTCGTCTCCAATGCCCCTTCTCTTGGCAATAAAAACAAATTGACTCTTTTGGAACAACACATGGAACTACTTCAGACATCGCCTTTCTTTTATGATCAAACTTTTCGATCATTGCATGTCTTTCATTGCCATTGTCTATATCCATAGAGGTCTTGAAGGCAGATTTACCAATCAACTTTGCTTTTCTATTGCACCAAACCATTGCTGATTTAGCAGCAATAAGCATGTAGGTGAGATGTATAAGTGTCACGTCGTGGTTCATCATATAGTAGTCTCTTACGAACTCACTATACGAGTTGGGAAGTGACTGAAGAACCCAATCAACAGCCATTTCCCCACCGACAATGGATCCTATCATTCTTAGTCTATCAATGTGTGACTTCATCCCTAGGATGTGTGCACACACCGACTTTCCTTCTTTATGTTTACTTGCCAAAAGGGCTTGAGTGATATTGAACCTTTCATTTTTACAATCTTGTGGGTTAGGGAGAATAATTGGAGGAGGAGGAGGAAGAAGTGAAGCATGATTTCTTGTTCCTCGATCGAATCGTGGAATATCATCTTCATGTGGAATGCTTGTTCCACGGGATTTGGGAAGACCATAGTTGTCGAACTTTGACATTTACAAAATGGGAGAAACAAATTCAAGTTAGTTAATTGATTGATTGAGTCCTTAGTAAATCATCCAAATGAGATACTAAGGCTAGGACCCAACACAATACGCTACAACCTAGAAAAGGGATGCCGTAATCTAGTTGTAGAATATTTGAAGGTAAGTGAATGACGATTCCCTAATTTCCACCATGAAAAACGGAAAAATAAATTGTAGTTTTAAATTTATGAAAACTTCTAGATCCTTTGAGATTCATTGAACATTTCAATGGCATGTTTAAATCTCGATATGCCCCTCTTATTTGTGACTGGTATGCCGAGGATCACAAAGCGGGTGTGAATAACCATGCAAACTTACATGGTGCCCTCACATGTTACAGTCACCTATTCGATGTGCCGGTAAACCACACACGCTCCACCGAACTATGACAAACATTGAGTCACCCTTTGCTACCTTTGCTTAGAACCATTTAGTGTGCCGGTAAACCACACACGCTCCACTAACGTCTTCGCAAGGGCACAAAGTGTAATTTCATGGAATTGCATCAATTCACTTTGCCTAAGTAACCAAGATTGGGAATTTGCAAAACATTTAGTTACTTTGTATTTCATTATACTTATAATGGAAGGTTTCGTCCTATCCTACCCGTTCGGCTAACGACCCTCCACTAGTCAAGAGTGTGGTGGGTAAGAGTGGATACCCATTCAATCTCCATATTATAGGCAATTTCCTTAAACACCCCTTATAGACCAGCTTCGTGAATGAGGCCTACTAACGGTAACACTGACTTTTAATCATACATATATATAACGTTAGACATTTAATGTTATATATATAGTATAGAGTGTATTTTACACTTTTAAAATACTTGGTGGTCTAATTCAACAATTATACTTTTAATTCAATTAATTGTAAACCTAAACCTTTTATGGATTTATTAAACTTCTTTTAATTATACACCTTAATTAATTAATAAAACCATAAGGGTGTGAATTGAAGTTTTCAAAACATTACTAGGGTTTTAGAATTTAACATTCCTAATTAACTTTTAATCAACTTTTAAATTCCAAAACTTGAGGGCAAGTTTTGAAACATTTCAAAACATTAGGGTTCAGAATTTAAATATACATCAAAATTAAACTATTTAATCAAAATTTAAATTCCAAAACTTGAGGGCAAGTTTTGAAACCTTTTTCAAAACATTAGGGTTTCAACTATTTAAATTTCAAAACAACAAAACTTTTGGGTTCAAATTTAAACTATAAAACCTAAAGGGCAAAATATGAAACTTTTCATAACAACAAGGATCAAATAACAAATAATCTAAATTAACATTTAATCACATAATTATCTATATTTGATTTATTTAATGATTTCTTGCAAAACAATTTATCAATTTAATCAAAATAATCAATCAATTATCACATAAGGAAACAAATATTTTATTAATTGATAATTATCTTTAATTAGTTCAAGAATATAGTCATATATATCATAAAATCGGATTTATATTGATCTAATATGATAAGGTAACTATCCATAAGCAAAAACAGCAAGAAATCCCGGATATACCTCTGTCTGACGCTCGAACTCGCCGAGTACCACACTGTACTCGCCGAGTTGAGGTCTACTCGCCGAGTACACTGTGGTATTCGCCGAGTTCCTCAGCCAGAAAGCCCAAAAATCGATTTTGCAGACATATCAAGCAACAATACAATAGAAACCAATCATGGCTCTGATACCACTGATAGGTTTTGGTCATAAGACATCCTATGTGCTCATACAAACCCTAAAGCTTGGATCTAGGTTTCTCTATTGTACATGCTTTGAATCCAAGACTATAAACCCTAATTCTAGCATGCAAGTAATCATATTAACGTAAGAATGAGTTTATAATGTTACCTTGATTGTTATGTAGCAATAACAATCCTAATCCCACCTTGAATTGACTTTGGAAGGCTTAGAGTCACAAGTGTCACTCCTCTAATGGTTCACAAACACCATAAGCAAGAGGATGAAGAGGAGAGAGGTTGGCGGCTACCAAAAATGTGTAGAAACCCTAACAAGAAGCTTAGCCACGTTTTTGAGACTTAAGGGGTCTTTATATAGTTGGGCTATTAGGGTTATCTAACAAGGAAACCCTAATTTGGATGCTTAAGCCTTTAGCAACCCATAGACTCCTTTTAATCAAGCCCTTGGACGATTTCCTTAGGGGCTTCCCCATAGAATTCGTCCAACCCTTGATACAAGGAAATCCATGGCCCAAATTGCAATTATCTTATAATTACAATTCCAATCCCTTATGTTTAATTAATCTCTTTTAGTCAGAAAACTAATTACCAATTAATTATTGACTAATATTAATTAAACAATATGATTTATCCTTTAATATATTATTCCCATAATATATTAATAAATCATATTTAATCCTTACTCTCCATAATTCATCCTATCAAGTTGCTTTAGTGAAGGCAACCCAAAAGGACCATGCACCATCGGGTCAAGTACATACCAAAATAGTTATGGACTTAGACACTAATCCAACATATTTCACCATCAGCATATTTAGATAAAGCTGACTGGGTCAAAGTATCTTCCTAGGGGACATTTACTTCCTTTCCTAAGGTTGTTGCGAGTTCTTCATCGGTTAAGGTCAAACATTCAAAGTAGTTATCAATAAAAATCTTGACATGTCCGAAACCGAATCTAAACACTTCAGTTTCAGATCCTTTGAGCTTTTTATCTTGCATGTGT